TAAATTTTTAGGTGCAAAATGCCGTAAACTACCGGAAATTTCTTCTCCTAGAACGCAGATCGGCTGCCAACAGAAGAAATTCGGACCCAACATCCAATCACCCGAGTAGTAATTTCCGTCGTAAGGATGTCCGAAGACGTGCCGAAGATAGAATTTTATTTGTGATATTGCTTTTCTCTCTCGTGGCTTCAATTTGGCCGAGTCGATATTTGTCTTATTGATCTCCGTAAGCAGTCGCCAGGCTCCGTCTGTTCTTCGTTTGATCTCGGAAGGTGTCGGATCGTAGGGTTTGAAATCACGGCGGATTTCCTCGGGTGTCTTACCTGGATTGAAACGTAGCAAATTTGGGTTTAAGACGTAAGTTTCGAACTGAATTTTCTCGAGAAGTTTGTAAAGCGACACTCTCACAGCTTCCTCTGACGGCGCACACTCGTCTGAGTTTGCAGTTTGAGTTTGGTTTCTCTGCTGACTTTTATCCTGTTTTGCATCACATTCGCCCTTGTGTTTATCTTTGGCAAGCGAGATTAAAACGATTCCAATTATCAAACACGTTATTCCAAGAAGAACGATAATAGCAACGATAAACCTCTGGCTGTTGCAGCAACGCTTACTTTCCACGTCGACATCTTGGTTATCAGAGTCACCTCGAATTGCAACAGTGGAAGGATTTTTAATCATGAAACTGTCCAGTTCTGTGCTATCGACTGAACAATTGGTCGCTGTAGATACCTCTGCCATGATTGCAATTTCAAAATCAAGGCACGCAAAGCTAAGAGCTGGAAAGTGCAAACTCTTTGCTTTGCAGCAAGGATGAAGTCTCCCGCTCTGGCAGAATTGTACGTGGAGCGATCTAATTAAATAAACTACTCAAATATTCAAGCCACTTAGTTAGCGGCTAAATTAGGCCTTGTGGTACCCATCGGGGAACTTCACACATCTCGCGTGTGATTTGTAATAACCGATGACTTTACCAGCTGAGAGTTTTTCTCAAACGCGTCGGAGGTGAATGTAAAGTAACTAAAAGCAAAAAGGTCTTAAACAATCAGGAATTGAAAGATCAGAAATTTCTAATTTTCTTGACACTGTTGGAGGGAACGAATTTTGAGGAGCCGATAAGCAATAATGACGTTATTGTCTCGATGAAAATTTTGATCTCGCCGCCCTGCGTAGGCAGGTGTCTTATCTTTCCATTGTCTCCATAGCTTAGTTTTCTAATTGTTATTATGATTATTATTATTTAGGGCATGAAAAATCTCCTAATGAGGTTAAGGATCAATCTAACCTTTGCTAATTCTGCGTTGAATTCTGAATGAAATGAATACGCAGATATTTTTTAGGAAGTGCTTTTCAGAGTTGTCAAATATCGATTGCATGACTTCCTGATACACAATAAAATAATGAATATTTTTAGAGGAAAAAACCTTGTTTGAATCTCATTGGCATTTGAAAACAGACAAAGACTTTGTACAGCGTACGTCTTCGGTGTTATGAAGTAATTTTTTCCATCCGTCTCATCGACCTACTATATAATTTTGCAACATATGAATTACCGTCTCTCGTTTCATTAATAAGAAAGTTTTTCATTTATTTGTTTTCGTCAGTGCAGTGAGTGGTGGGCTTTCCTTCAGTACGTAAAAGGAAATTTGTCGAATAAAATCATTTATTTAAACTGAAGGCGTTTCTGACCAATTACGAAAAAATTGAATTCACCTGCCATCATCTGATGTCGTGCTGATCTAAGAATCTGAGCGGGATTCTATCTACAGTGGAATCAGAGACACCTAATCAACGCCGTAGATTAAAAATCAATGGGAGCAAATTATGAGTGGGTGTATAAATTAAATTAGCCTTTCAGCTTTGCCTGTACGTAACAAACTTAAAAAATGTCTATAAAAATATTGCATGTATATAATTTTTTCTTTATTCAGAGGCTGATAAAAATAACATTGGACATATCTCGAATCAAACCTTTTCCCCCAAACATCAGGTTTCTGTTTTAGTGGGTATTGCAAAAGATATGAATATTTGATGGCTTCAGCACAATTTTGTTTGACAATCGTATGATTTCCAGAACTAAACGAAACCACAAATGATAAAATGTCAGCCTCCGCTAACATAACCCCCAAAAACCTTTGCACTCTATTGTGAAATTTTTCTGTGCTGATAGCATTTGTGACCCCTGTGCATTAGGTGGTAGCTAACTCAAATGCTCGGTTCTAAAAAACATAAAATAATGGGAAATGAGTCAACAAACAAAGAAACAGTTTCTTCGCAACGGAAGTGAGAAATACACGCAAATGGTTTAAACTTGTTTTCCTTTCTCTTAAATACACCATTGTTAAAAATTTATCGGAAGCAATGATTCATGCGAAATGCATTTTTGAATAAATCGATAAAGAAGGATGCCGAACTAGAGATATGTTGGGCATCTCAGCTTTGACGCTGTTTCTAAAACTGAGGACTGGTAGTGAACATTCGAAAAACGCGTTTTCACCAGAGAATTTGCTCTTGGGCTCTTTCTCTATAAGTCACCCTTTAAACCCTAACATTAGTATGTATATTCTCCATACTGTTCTCTATACATTACTCAAGGTGTTGACAAGGAGAATTTGTCTTACAATCAACAGCTTCTTCAGTTGATGATCATTCCTTTATTCTCGTGACCTTATTTGACTCAGCAGTGGTATTGTAAGAAGATATTAGATGCAAGTCACTCTTAGGGTCAAAGGTTACGTGGAGGGCCCTTGCAAACAACATGGTCGTTTTTCCGTAGAGTAAAAAAAAACCAGAATATTTTGAATAGCGCAAGTTTAACGCGTTCACGAGAGCGAACCAGGAAAACTGAGTCAGACACATGAAGTCGAAGCTAATCAATGCGTCACTATAAAAAGACATCATTTTGCAAGGAATTTTGACTAGTTTCTTTAACTCTCTTTATTTCTTTTTAACTCTTCCCACTGTTCCGTGTGGTTAAAACTTTTCAAATAGGAGTTGTTCTGACATGAAGATACTTTTGATCGGAAAGTCTCCTTTCCAAGTACCGCACCAAGACAACCCCATCCACTTCAGTTTCAGAGTCAACAAACCACAATTCAATACCCGTGTACTGTGTAATAGGTACACATCATATGATATACAAACAATTTTTTAAATCGTTCGCAAACCAACACAAACATACAAACGATGAATAAAACAACTAAAAAGCAAATAAATAACAAAAATCTGTGGAGACACATAATCTGGAAATTGGAGTTTACTTACCAAAAAATATCCATTACTGCAGTTAATTTCAAGTTCTGTATAAGGTTTCCATGTTTTTGAATGAGATGGTAACTGAATTGAAATAAGTTCTCTTGCAGGCTGTTCTAGTTTCAGAAGTATGGCTGCGTTACCTCACACAGTCCATACGCCACAACAGCGTCAAAGAAAAAAGTGCACCCAATCTTAACAAACTGACAAACTTGACCTCTTCTTGTAGATAGTAAGACCCGTCTCGCCGCTTCAGGCATTTTCGTCTTTGGTTGTTTCAAATCTTCTCCTTCCGCTTTATTCATCTTTTCATCCATGTTTGAACAGCCTGACATGTATTTGTGCATCTCTTTTCACGATCTCCTTCTCCGCTTTGGCTTCCAACTGGAATCTTTTCATATTCTTCTTGGCCTGCTTGCACATATCTTCAACATCGCCTAAGTCATCAAAATATTTGTCACATTGTTTTTCAAGTTCATAAAATTGTCTTTGCAATTTGTTGATCGGTCTTTCCTTCTCATTGGATGGATAACTTGCTCTTACAATAAAACTTTCGCTAACAACCGAAGCCATTTCGGGTAATTCTAACTTGCAAGCTATAATGATCGGAACAAAAGCGAAATTTTCTTCTGTTTGTTGTAAGTGACGTAACAATCGGACCGTTTTCTGAGTGCGCGCTCAGTAAGTCGAAGCGCGTGCGCGCATTTTTTCAGCACAAGAAATAACAAAAAGAAAAAAAAGGAAAGACTGTGGCTCTACCTGTCATAATATCTTTGAGATATTTATAAGGAGAAAAATCAAAAGGCTGCAAAACCATTTTAGTGATCGAGATAGGAAAGTCATTTTTGATGTCATGTGTTTTGATTTGTTTTCTACTTAAAGCGGAGAGTCCTTGCGAACAACAGACTAAGATTTTAGTGAAGGAAAGTATTGAGGAAGAGGGCTCTTTACGGAAAAAATTTGGAGTAACAAAAAAAAAATTCCCTTTTACCCTTTCCACCTCCAATTCCATTCATCCTGCAAAAATTTTTACTGTGCTTCTGCAATCCTTAGGCCAGCGCTAGCTCAAATGAACGCTCAGTATGTCGCATAAAATACCATGTAGCGTCCATAATATTTATGTAATGATTCTTAGGCAGACCAATTTCTTAATTCGTTAAAAAGCAGGAGAGGATCTTATTGACGTGAGAAGCGAATAATTTTATTTGACCAAACTGTTTACACAGCTGCAAGAGGAAGTCTAAAAGATTGATTTTTGCTGTTGTTAGTTGGTTTTGTCTGATCATAAGATCAACCTTGTGATAATGAATCACGTTCAAGTCGCTTGACGATCTCGCTGCTGGCCGCATGACAGGAAGCGTGACGGCGGAAGAAAATCTTACCTTGCAGAGATAAAGGAGATGGACAATAAATATCACACAAAAAATAACCTAAAAATTCGAGCAGAAAAGCTACAGTGTACCAACTTTTATGACAGTTTCCGAATAAGTAGGTACACAAATATTATAGCAGAAATCTCCTACTCTAGACACAATTGGGGGGTTGAAAATTCCTGACAGAGAGATTTTTTCGAAATTTTTGTGATAGTTATTCAATTGGCGAAGCTTTTACTACTTCTACAGTCCATATGGCCCATCCCAATAGCTTTTGCGTGCGTTCCATTTTTAGCAACAATTTGTCAGATTACGTCACCTTTTCAAATCACATGACAGTTTTCCACGTACACATGCGCAAGCATATTTGCTAGTACCTCTTACTTCTGTGGAAATACTGTGTCTATATTGTCGGATTCAAGGGTTAAAATCGCTGTTTCTGCTCCCTGAACATAAGGGGAAGCTTGACTATGGCCGGTTTTGAGGAAAACCCCTTCGCTGGGGACTCAGAAAATCCATTCGCTGTAAGTATTCCTTCTGTGAATAAGATCGTTTTTGCTTCATAATGCAAGACAAACACACATTCAGACGACGGTAGTGATCTCGGAGATTTTTATGTTGGTTCTTTTAACGTGTCGGGAATTCTTTACATTTACAGGATCCATCGGTTGCTTCAGTTACGAATAATGCCTCCAAAGGACTGGAAGATTTCAATCCATTTGCGGACGCGAACACAGCTCAACCAACAGGAGCAAAGGTTGTTCATTTTCTCTAAGTGTTTCATTTTTGTTAAGAGCGCTTTCGTAACTTAGAAAAGTGGTATTTTTTTCCATAAGGGCCTTGAGTTATAGAAATAACACTTAAGAATACTAAGGGTGATAGTTCTATGAACTCCCTTCGTTTTCTGAGAACGAGAGCGTTGACTAATTGAAGTCACATTAAGACTGATTTGTCTTCATGTAGACTTGGATAGACATGATTGTACCTTATTTTTGTCGTGATGTACTTGGCCGCAGAATATACATCACGAACCCTAGCTCTTACTTTTATCAGCGCAGGATGTTGAGAAAAAATGTCTGATGTTCGAATCTACTCAGGGTTTAAGCTTACGAAAACCTCTTGTTTGCGAAAACCTCTTCGATAGAGACCTGTTTACCATTAATTTCCTCCTACAAAGTAGCTGATATAAGATCAAGTATCCTTGCTATTAGAAACCCGTCACTTAATTTTATAGAGCTTGCATCGTTGGGTTCTCTTTGTTCTCCTTATTGTTAAACAATTTTAAAAAAATTGCGTTGAGAAAGAAATAAGATCTTAAACTCAACGTGTTGATTTTGTATCTTCTGTGCATTAGAGCATATAGTTATGAACTCAGTGAAGGCTTCCGAAATAAACAGTTGTTGGTCGTCTCACACAGGGATTTATCATATTCAAACGCAAGTGATACCAGCTTTTGAATAAAAATCCCCAATAGTTAAAGGACAAAGCAGTAGGTTGCTTTAAATCCAGCTGAACAAGGAACAAATTTATTATTTGCAAGGATGTAGCAAAGTTGTAACAGAAAATTCTTAAGTAATGATATTGCACTTAATTCATCATTTATGGCCCTATTTTCTTTATTTCTGTTCTTCTATTAGCTCTCTTTCAAGACATAGATGAAACCAGATATAGCCTTGTTCATGATCAGAAATACTAGTTGAATTGTAGCTACAATAGATCACACATTAGGAGGTTATAGAGCATTATGCTAGTATGTGTAGCTTGATTGAAATAGTTGTCTTTGATTATTCCACACTCTTTATGAGACTCGCGCTTATGTGGATATGCAATTGATTTGTTATTTGGTTTTATATTTGATTTTGTTTTTTTTGTTAATATTGAATCACAATACATTATTTTAAACTGAAATTAAGATTCCTGAATGATGTTGAAACCTAACATTCCTAGCAATATTTACAAACTGAAATAATTACCTACTGTGCAGAAATGATATAGATAAAGAACATGTTTCAACATGGCATGTATATGTATATATAGCCACAAATTTGCGAAGACTTTACAGATTAAGTTTGAAAACTTGAACCTGGGAAAAATAGTTCCATTAGTTCAAAAACTCTAAACATGTGATAAATTTGGCCTCCTATAGCAAATAGATTGTCAGGAAAAAAGATAGAGTTAAAACCAAGCAAACAGATATAGCATTTTTAATGAAGTTAATAATTTTTGGTTCAACATTCAAAACTCCTTTTCTTGTACACTAAGGCAGATAAGGCAGAATGCAATCCTACTTGAGCCAGCTCTTGTATGCTGCTATAATATTTGTCTTTTCTGTCTTTGTGGTCTTTGTGCTGTTCGCTGATTTTTTACTAGCCTTAGACAAGACATACTCTAACTAGCTCTTGTATGCTGCTATAATATTATTTTTTTTGTCTCTGTGGGTCAAAGGTTTTTTCTTTCTAATTGTGCTGTTCACTGATTTTTTTCCAGCCAAAGACAACACCAGCTGTCCAACCCCCTCCTCCACCACCACCCACAGCACCACCCCCTTCTTCCTCTCAGCCAGCTGTGCTTCCGACCAGAGAAGAACCTCCACCTTATGTGGTATGTGTAACATGTGCATATATTTTACTTTAAAAGTAGAAATCAGAATAGCTTGTGAACCAGTTGTAGTTTGGGATGTTGTAATTGTCTCAAGTCCCGCTCAAAAACATGCTCTGGTGGTGATTGAAGGGCAGAGTGAGCAATAAACATTTGGTACACAATGTTTACCTTGAAATGCAATGAAGTATAAGTAAGTGAAGTTAGTGAAAGATGATGAGTCAATTTTTATTTTTGACCCCACTATTTTCTACATGTATCTCACACAGATTGAAGAAGAAGCAGAAAATTTACGGAAAAGGCAAGAGGTATAGTGTCCTCATCAGTGTTGTATGTGTGCCTGTACAGTGTGTTGCTAGACAGTGCTCTCCAAGTTATGGCTGTTATGGTGCTCATTCTAGCTACTAAATTTTCAATTTCCAAATTGGTAGTTTGTGTTTGGTGTTTATATAGCAAGGTGGAAAAGTTTTTGGTACTGAATGTTTAGGGTCTAAAGTTGAAGGTTGATAAATGTGAACAAGCATTTGAGTTTTTAGCTTTTAGATATTGTATATACCTCCCAAAACAATTTCCAGCTATATTGTTTCCATTTGTATGATCATATTTTTTTCCACTTGCAGCTAAAATTTACCTCTGGAAAATATTGTCTTAGTTTTTTTCTGTAAATGGCACAGCTTTTTCTGGAACTGCTCTGTCCATTGATGTAGAAATGTAGTTTGAAAGTTGAAATACTGAGATTTCATAATAAATGTATTCTTATGGTCAGGCCACAAATTAAATGCCAGTCCAATTTTTTATAGGATTTAGAACGTAAAGCAGCAGAACTTCAAAGGAAAGAACAAGAGTTACAACGAATGCAATTTGGAGGTAGAGGCTTTTAAAATATTTCAAATAAATAATCTTAAAGGGTACATGTACAGTGTACCTTCTTACTCTGTTGTGCACACTACTCAAAACATCTTAAACCCTTTTACTTCTAGGGGTGATTAACATGTAACTTCTCCCTTAATATCCATTTGTTATCCAGTAAACAGAATACTTAAACTTATCAGGTAGAGGTTGTACTTTTGACCTAACACCAAACTCTTGTGACTTGCTTAAAAGAAAATGTGTGGAAGTAAGAGGGAAGAATTTGCAATCAGATTTGGGATTGAAAGGGTTAATTAACTTTTGGAGAATGTTGCTGTGCATTTTTTGAATGGGTTGTTTTATAAAGTATATAGAGAAGACAAACTACGCCAAACCATTTTAGTTGTAGTGAAGAAGGTAACATGTTTTATTTTTTTTTCAAAGGCTTAAATTTGGAGTGCTATATAGAAATGCTTTAACGTTAATGCCTTCTTTGTTTACAGGGTGTAAAATTAATTATTTTTCTGATAGCCACTTGGCACCTTAATTCTTCAAAGTGGTAGCCAATTCAGAAAAAGTTGGTCATGATTTTCAAAGACAAACAAAACCTTTTGTCAGTGTTCTAGAAAGACCCTCCAAAATTAAGTTAGGGAAAAGATCTTTCATGTGCTACAAAGTGGACACTAGGATGGAATGATATACAACATTCAAGCTCACTTAAATCCAAGATGGTGTCTAGTTATTGGAAAACTTAACAAGGAAGTTTGCTGTGGATTTATCTTTTTAGTTCACTTTATCTCTTGGTAAGGTTATGATGAAACATTCTAGTTACCAATTTGACAACTAATTTTCAGGATTTGGTCACCAAAGTTAAAGATTTAGTTGCATTGGTACCTGTATTAGGTGCAATTTCATGCCCTGATTGACCGATCAGGATAAAGATATTAAAATGCGTACCATTGTTGTCTTTTTTATTTGTTTTACAGGTTATAGGGAAAACAATTTCCCTCCTCTCCCCAAAAAATGTCCTTGTAGGCCATGTTTCTTTCAGGATATCAGCATTGATATTCCCATTGACTACCAGAAGACTTGTAGAATGGTCTACATCAGGTGGCAAGGTAAGTGTTTATCTTCAATGTTCAATGTTTATGGCTAATTAACCAAATTGTCTTATTATGGATCAACATACATACATTTTTCTGCAATAAGAAAGATTATAAATTTTGAAATTTTGAGCTTGTTCATCAAATAGAATAAGAAGTGAAATGTACAGTTGTGACATCAGTAGAATGTTGAAAAATTTTTAAGTAAATCCCTGTTAAGAATTTGAACCCCAGACTATTAGATTGTTGTTGTTAAACACAGTATAATGGAGGTACAAAAGACCTCTTCTGACAAAATTATGAGCTCATTCACACATGTAAGTTCAAAGTTAGCATGTGTGAGTTAGTTACCAAATATTGGTTTTAGCCAATGGTTTTTCATTCTGTTGTGATGGTGTGTATGTGTGATGTTGATGTCTTTTGTTCTGCTTTTCTTTCAGTGTACAGTTTTACGATGTTTTTCAACTTCCTTGCTGCATTTGCCATGCTTGTGAAAGGTGCTGAGCCAATACATGACGGCCAAACATTTGGAATATCAATACTCTACTTAGTGGCAAATGTTCCTTTTTCATTTCTTGGTTGGTACCGGCCATGCTATAATGCTCTGAAGTGAGTACAGCTCTAATGGGGAGATTAATAACATTTAAGTATAATTTAAGTTAGCAAAGTGATTGTCTGAATTTGGAGATCCAATGTTTGGAGTGTTAACTCCCAGAGTTGATGTAACTTCTGCCTATGATATCTATACATTATCCAGCAAACAAGAAATGAGAGTACTCACACTTATCAGGTAGAATTTATCTTGATCCAATACCAAATGATTGCAACTAATTTACAAGAAAATTTGTAGCATCTAGAGGGGAGAAATAACTGTCAGATCTTGGTGGGGGGAAGGATTTAAATTACAAAGTAATGCACAGATGTGAGTTGTTTTGAAGCTTGAGTTTCAATTTTTGGGAATCAAGCTTCAAAACACTGGGAGAATTTTTGTGGGCAACAACTTACCGTCAGTAATTCTTAAGAGCAGATCAAAAGCAGATCAAAAGCAATGGACACAGCCCTTGATGTCTTTAGCTCTCCTTACTGTTGCAAGCTATGTTTTCATGGTTCTTAGCAGTTTAGTGCTAACTGTGTGTTTTGTTCTTCTTGCTTCTTTCAGGAACGACAGCTCCTTCAGCTATGTAATATTCTTTCTCATTTACTTTCTTCACATAGCTCTTAATATATTTTACACCCTTGGTATTCCTGGTGGTGGAACTTGGTAAGTTTCCTTTTTGCATGGACTCTTGATACATTTTTATCATTACTGTAATTTGTTGGGTTTGGTATAGTCAGTAAAAGGGGACACTTTCTGCAAACTCAGGGTCTGTGACCTTGATTTTGTAGAGTACATGTATATTAGTCCTTGTAACCCATTTACTTTGTAGCAATTCAAAACCTTTTCTGTTTCAAGAAGACTCTATGCAGACTTTCAGTGATGTATCCCTAATCATGCTTGCAGAAAGGAAAAACAAAGAAAACCATGTCCAAGATTCCTAAATTTCTTTCAATTATTTTATTTCTGGATTGAACTCCATTGTGGACAGGGCTGTTGATAAGTTTGAAAGTAGACTGCAAATTAGAAATAGTAGTCAGGCAAGTTAATGTGAAAGCCATGTTGTTTTGTTAGTTCCACTAGGGTCATAGGAACCAATTCACACATTTAAATCCTAACTGTTAAATTATCTGTGGATTCAGTTTGGAACAAAACTGGGAAATTGCTGCGGTGCATATGTCTCCCATTGTATTTCAATAATTGAACAATTTTTCATCAGCACTTTTGACTAAGGGAGGTAAAAGAAACTGGCCAAAGATGGTAGACAAGCCAGCAGAATTGGCCAGCTACCACCTCATTGAAAGCTCTAAATGACTGAGCATATTCAGTCAAGTTGGCTGGATGCATCTGTGATATTAACTCAGGAGTATAATAATACAGGCTGTAGGTGACTCCAATTTTTCCTGTTTTAGTGGTTTTATCAACGCAACTCAAGTAGTTCACAACAGTGTACCTGTAGGAGCCATGATGTTCACAACAGGAGTATTGTTGTTAGTTGGTGTTATTGTAGATATTTTCCTCCTTATGAAGGTACAGTTTTGACAGATCTTATTGAATTTTTTACTTTCTCTCAAACAACCCAGTGTCACACAGGGTTCTTGCTAAGTGTTTTTTGCTGCAGGTAAAAACAGTAAGCACATTTCAACATACATGTATGAGGTATTTTCAAAGCTGTAACCACCAGCATCAGAAAAGTAAGATTTTGAGTGCTATATCAGTATTCTCCTTTTCGCAAGTCCTAGGATCTCAAATCCCACGGCAAACTATTATTTTTGCTTCAGTGCCAGAGACCGTGGAAACCCATCTGTAACTATTTTTTGGTACCATGAAAATTCATGGGAATCTCCTTTATATAACTTTGATTTCCATCAAAACAGGATTCTCAACTGTTGTGAAAAAACACATTAAAATGGAATATGTACACTTTTATAACCATTAAATTAACAACTGGTGAACATATGGGCCACCACCTTCAGTAAAATGTATCATACTATGCGAAGGATACAAGATGGTGCTGAGAGAAGATAGACAACTGATTGAGCTTCATATATAAGCAGAATTGCTCTACCACTAAAACTTCAGAGGGAGAAAAACACCTTTCACTTTAATTTTGGTCAGTGAGGGTAAATATGTTGATGGGAAACTATTTTTTGGTTCTGTTATTTTGATAACATGGTAACCAAGTGGTGAGGGAGTAATTATTGGTAAACACTTCTGAGAAATATCTGGTATTATTATCCAACTGCACAAAGTTGAGTGTAAATAACGTATGAATAGATTACAAATATGCTGCCAATAATGTACAGTTATTTGGACAGTTGGTTATTTTGCACTGCAAAAAAAACCTGTTTAACAAGGCAGCTGCACATGCTATACTTCTCTATCCGCTTTGCTTTTCCCACCTTATGAGACATGAGCAGAAAGACTTAGCGGGAAAAAAAAGCAGGTGGATAATAAATAACTTATTAGATGTTTTGGTGTGTATTGCTGATTATTTTTACTTGTAGTTTGTAGTTTGACACTCACTCTATGGGCTTGTCAAAATACAGCACAACTCATTAAAATACTCAGTGATTCCACTCACCAAAATGTCTAATAAGAGATAAATATTAAAATGAAATGGCCACAAAAATGTGGTTACTGCATGTAGTGCTGTACTAGTAGTTGAGGCAGTTATGCACATTATGCTTGTGTGTAGTGGTAACTTTGTTTATTTTGGTACAAAAATTTCTCAGGTCCATAGGATCTACCGTATGGCTGGTGCCAGTTTCGAGAAGGCACAGGGTGAGTTCGCAAGTGGTATGGCCTCCAATCCACATGTTCAGAGTGCAGCAACCAGTGTCGCAGCTGCTGGAGTGCGAAGTGCCATGACCAACCAGAAGTGAGCAGTACTGGAAGTGGAGAAAGGAGGAGTCAGGAAATCACAATTTACACATGTTAGAAGAAATGCATAATAACAGGCTCTGTATGGATGTGTTTTGCCTATACATTGATGTTCTTGTATTTTCTTACCTCTTTACATTTGTAGTACAATTTTTTTTCCTGTAAGTATGAGGAATTATGGTGCCACTTTATTTGCTTTTGAAGGCATCATTTTTAGTTGTATCAGTAGGATTTAAACAAGCGATAAAAAAATGAATCCAATTTCCCATAATGAGTCAGTAGCTTTGTTTCAGTTTCCAGTATTCAGTGAGACCAAAATTGGTGGAACTAAAGTCCTTGTTTATAAAAGTTTTGTAGTCTTTTTTCAGTAAAGGGGTACTTTAAACCGTACCTTTAAGTAACCTTGTTAAAGATGACATGGAAGAAAGCAAAACTGAGAAGAGCCTGTGGGCAAGAAGTGCCGTTAGCTGGTATCAGCCCTGTGTAAGGCCATTGTAGTGAAGGGGAAAAAGGAATTGGGAGCTGTGAGAATAGGGGTGGGCAAGAAAGAAGATACGTTAGTTTTGTGTTCACTTTGTCTGCAGTATTTTGTAATGAAGGGGAAAGAGAGGCATTCCAGTGAAGGAGATGGAGACTGGGAAACAATTCTCACCCTCCTCATTCCCACCCCTCCACCAACTTGCAGCTTGAACCATGTGACCTTTTATCAGGCTTAATTTTAATTCTTGGTGTTAAACAAAGTCCTCTCTGTATCAAAATACTTTGTATGTAATAAAAATGAAATATCAGTAATCTAGATTCACAGAACACAATCATTTTGCCAATGAAAGATGGGAAAGGGCACTGATGAACTCATTAATGGCAGGAGTAACCGATATTCGTTCATGTACATGCTAAGAAGCCTTCCTGGTCTTGTTGGTAGAGTCAAAAGTAAAGTTTTTACTCCAAAGGGGCTGATAAAGAGACACATAAAAGATAGAGGTGTACTGCATCTTAAAATAAATCAAGCATGAGGAGAAATGCTCCTAAGATTAAATATTGGCCTCAAACTGTTAACATTGTGGTCTGGGTTTACATTTGTGGTAGTGGAATGAATCAGCTGATTAATAGAGGTAATAGAAGGTTGCAATAATACCCAGTTTGGGGTGGACTTGCCTTTTGTTTCCTTGTCTCATTTTGCATCCTACATCAGTGAACTGTTGTATATGTAGTAATACTTTGCATTTCAAAGTTGATAGGTTTTCATTCATCTGACTTAAGTTTTTAGGAACTATTGAAAAGTGAATACAAGGAAAAAAGTTTGTTCTTTTTAAGTTTTTTTTTTCAATGGACTGCTACATGTAACGGGGAACTCTAAAGTTTTGTTTTATGTTGAACACAAATTTCTCAATAAGAGCACAAACAGTGGGGTGTCTCATGCAAAGTCACTACATGGCAGTAATCTCTCTCCACTTCTCAAATCAGTAGTGTTATAACCAGTGCACTTGTAAATGCCAAGTTACATAATACAGCTGATAGACGTTAGTCAGAACAGAAATAAGTGTTTGGCTTCCATGTGCATTTACCCAGCTACTGATAAAGCAACCCATTGAATTGTTATATTATAGAAAGTAGGGGTGGCATGGATTGTCATCTTTCGTGTGTAAATTGTACACTCCATTTATAGTTATAGCTGATGTTTAAACAGATGTAAGTGATTAATTAAAACAAGAGGTTCTTCTACAAGATTGTCCATTGCAATAACTGTTCCATTTTGAATAACTTTATTCCCACTGATTCCTATTCCTGCAATTAAACTTTGACCATACAGACGACTCTCTTCTTTTCTCATCTGCTCCTACCATAGACATAAGTCTTAGAGGGTAAAAGGGAAGATGATTATATCATTTTAACCACAGCTGTACAACCTGACAATTATCGTTAGTAGGTAACATACAAGTGAATAGTGCTTTTCGTGCTAATTGCTGATTGGCTAGTTCAGAAGTGAATCGCAAGTACTCTTCACCTTTGGGCAGTGAGACAAAATCACATGACAAGTTAAATTTCTGACTATTTTTTGGTATATTGGATGAAACAAACTAATTTTTTTTAAAGAAACATTACAGCTGCAACCCATGAATTAATAATCTTTCACAGATCTTTCACAGTACTGTCAGAGGTTTGCCAGTGACTCTCTACAACTCAAAACCCTCACACAAAAATCAAGCTACACAAGCTAAAATTCACAAGTAAAAGGACTTTAGGGAGAAGAGGGCAAAAGAGCAGAGAGAGAAAGGGAGGGGAAATGAAAGGAGGAGAGCTGAGGAGTGGAAAACTACCATCAGTCAACATTATGACATAAACAATTGCTACATTCTAAAGGAAAGCATACAAAACATGTCCAGTAGCATGAATGGAAAGCACAGCAGAATGTGTAACAGCAAAGACATGCTCAAAAATCAGATTGCATTTGTTGTATCTCCTTGTACTGAGAAGAACCAAGCTTATTCATCAACTGTGGCAGTTGATCTACACATCCTCTGTCATCATAGTGAAGACAGTAGTCTAGTATATATCTGATGCACTTGGTATTCTCTTCATCCTCCTGGTTGCGACAGCTTTCAAAGTGACACGGGCTCTTCTGATTTTTGTAATCAAAATCACAAGGGTTCAAATCTTTGTTTTCTGGCTTGTTCAGATCACTGATTTTCAGGCCTAATTCCTGCAAACAAAAATGAAAATAAAAAGCATTAAAAGATTAAGATTATGGTAGAGTGGAATCAGACTAAGAATTACTCCAATAAACATAAAAAGACCTTGGCCAAGAATGTCTCACTCCATATGCATGTACTGTTTATTAACCCCTCAACACCCTAACATCAGAATGCATATTCTCCACACTGTTCTCTAATATACATTTCCTAGGGTGCTGACAATGAGAATTTGTTTTACAATAAAGAGCTTCTTAAGTTAGTGATCATTTCCATCATTCTCATGACTTTGATGTTTGATTCAGGGGTGATATCGTAAAGAGTTATTGGATGCAAGTTACTCTTAATGGGTCAAAGGTTTAAAGAGTTGATTGAGTGGTTGTGTGTGAGTCCTTTTCAACAACAAAACATGGTTCTGAACTGTCTTTTTGCTCTCTTCTCAAATGTACTTTTGTTTCCTACAAAAAAAATTCTACCAAATTTATTTAGCAAAATGGAAATGGTAATAATGTTTCTACTTGTTGAAATCAATTTCAAATTCATATGAAAGTGGACAATGAAAGGCATAACCAGTCAGAAAAAGGTCTGAATCCCATCTGACTATTTAGAACTGAAGTTGTGGAAAATTTGATTATGAAACTCTGACAAGCACTTTTAAATTTGAACAACAGGAAAACTGAGAAATTTAGATTTTGCTTAGAAATAAGCTGTCAGAGTCCCAGATGGAGAGAACATTGATACAATCTATACATCTCACTCTAGAGTGATCTTCTCATGTTGTCCATACCTCTTCCAGGTAGCCTCCATCCCCCTGTGTCTGTGGTACATTCATTTTGTCACTTTCAAACTGATAATCGCTCATGAAAACCTGCTGGTCCTTGCATTTTATTCTTGGTGTGATATCACTCACATTCTGAACCCATAACTCATACTGGGCCAGGACATTTCCAAAGGAATACCTTTCTGTAAATGTTTCATATCTTCAATCAGTAAAGTAAGTACTGTTTACTATTAAATAATTATTAATTAAACTGTCCAACTTCTTACTAGAGGTACAATGATTTAGATAAACTTATGGCCAAGTTGTACTACATATGATTATTGTTGTAATAATCAGATTAACGCCATTCACATCAAATTGCTATTGATTGGGACTTGTAAACCCTTTTTAAATTAACAAGTAACTTCTCCCTCTAATATTCATATATAATCCAGCAAACAGGTAATGAGATTACTCAAAATTATCAGGCAGAAGTTATCTTGATCTACCACCAAACTTCTTGTAACTGATTTACTAGCAAGAAAATGTGAGGTAGCTAAAGGAGAGAAAGTTAACGTTTATCAGACACAGGTAATAACAGGTTAGGAGACAACCAGAGCCTGCTTTGCACTATCTCACAAAGCCAGAATGGGGAGTACCTTTTACTGTCTAATAAATTTGTGTACAAAAACTCAAAGTCAATACTCAACACCCAGTTTACAGCCAATACCTTTGTCAAGACTTTCCACTGGTAGTGCCTCCCTTCCAGGTTTTTTGAATACTGGTTTGGATTTCCACCACAAGGCCACTGCTTGTTGACGTTCAGGTCTATAGCAATACAAAAAAGATGTAATTAAGGACATTATTCATCACTGATTTATCATTTAACCCTTTAACTCCCGTGAGTGACCAAGAGAGAGTTTCTCCTCACTACATCTATACAATATCATGCAGACAAGTGAATTGAGAATAAAGGAAAATATCAATTATGAGATTGCTAATTTATCTGATACCAAATTCTCCAAACTAACATAATGAGAATTGTTTGGCAGATAGTAAGGAGAATTACTAATAAGACCTTGGGAGTTAAAGGTTAACCCTTTACACACTAACAGATATTAAGTAAAGCCTTTATATGGGCCTGAGAGGCCTATGGGGCAGGTGCTTAACTCTGGTTTTCTTAGCATGAAGCGGCTAGGAGTATTGCTACTCCCCCCTGGATGGGATGCTAATCCATCGCAGGGTTACCCCAAGCACATTTGCTGGTACCCCATCTGTACACCTGGGTGAAGAGAAGCACTGTGAGAGTAAAATGTCTTGCCTAAGAACACAACACAATTACCCCGGCCAGGGCTCGAACCCCCACCACCCGATCTGGAGTCGAACGCACTAACCATGAGGCCACCGCCTCTCCACACACACACACACACACACACACACTAACAGATAGTATCCATATTTTCCATACTCATCCCTATACATTTTCTTCAGCATTGAAGAAGAGAATTTGCTTAACAATTAATGCTTCATAGGTTTGCGATCATTTCCTTAATCGTCAGTATGCATATTCTCTATATTACCTTTTACACATTTCTTTAACTGCCGACAAGGAGAATTTGTTTACCAATCAAACGCTTTTTTCATTGGTGATCATTTCCTTTATTCTCATAACCTTAATGTGTGACTCAGGGGTGCTATTGTAGGGAGAAATTTGATGCTAGTCACTCTTACGGTTTAAAGGGTTAATGAATGATTCAGCAGACTATCACAGTAAGGAGAAATTAGAACCTGGTCACTCTTTGGATTTAAAGGATTAGATCCATGATATGCAAAAATATACATGCCATAATTACCTTGATATAACTTGGTGCCACCACATCTGGGGGATGTAAACAATATCTCCTTCTTCAACATTGGCACGGTGATACCGGACTTTCATGACATTGGGAAATTTCTCTAAATCAACAGCTTGTGGATTGATGTCTGAGACACCCAGCACCCGCGACTCATCAGCGTACAGATGGGTGGAATAGACTGGAGACACCATGAGGACAGATTTATGTCCATGAACGACACAGAGCAAGTTTTCATCTGTATCAATGTGTATAGATGACGATGTCCCTCCAGTGCTCATCCAGAAGTACGACACAAAAAAGAATGAGCTCATTTCTTCACAGCGTAAACACAGTGGAAGAATTATATCTTTTCGCATATCTGGAAGAACTTCATCAACAAGGTAGCGATTTGAATGGTTGTATTGAGAGAGAAATTCACTCAGCTCCATATCAGGGGGGACGTTCCATTTGTCATCATCCTTTGTTTCCATGTGAAACCTTTCTTGGCCATAAGTTGTATTCAAGTATTGATCTGTCCACTTTGTATATGCAGGCCAGTATTTCACAGCACCTAAATTGGAAGAACAGCAATTTTCTTGTGAGAATTAACAATTTTCAATAAATAACTTTTAATTTCTCATGATTTGTGCTGGCATTAAAATGTACAGTATCTGAATGATATTTAGTGAAATAATTAAATTCATAAAATACATTTGGAGTAAATCAAAGAATCACATTCATAGATAGAGAGGAATATAGACTGTCAGTTAAAATAGATTACCTTTAAACACAACTGGTTTATGCTTTATAACATAATTCATGTAGAAATCCTCGGGAGAAATCATGTAAGGAAGTTCTTCTACGACGAAGTCAGGAGGACGATGTGATCCAAATGGCTTCATATGACCACGCAGAAACATTTCCTCCTCTGTAAGATCATTCTTGAGAACATTACAACCTTCACCATACTGATTCCCACATGAATGAGTATCTGAATGGTGTGAAGAGTGCTCATGGCACAAAATTAAATTCACCATACAGAGAAACTCAATGAGAGTAAAAGTCACAAAAGATATTTGACTTGAAAATAACATGATGTTGTAAACCTGTGTAAAAAGAGATTGAAGATGTGATGTTAAATAAGTTCTAGAGCTGATCTTGATGTCTTCAAAGTTTTAAGCTACAGAGATCTTAGAGCTTTGTCATGTGGCTCATGAATGAAAAATTGATATGTTGTTTCAAAGGAACATCATGGTTTAGCAACCTCCTTTGAGTGGTAACACTTTCTTTTCCTTCCCTAATGACTTCATTGTCAATGCCTGAGCCACAGCTGCAGATAAGATACAGTAATTATGTATGTAGTCACCCACACTGGATACCATGATCTTGACTAGGAATTCAAAGATACAACTTATCCACAAATTACGCTTTCTTGACTGTTA